CGCCCCCCGCGCCGGGCCAGCAGACGGCCGCCCTCCGCCCGTCCCCCGCGAACCAGACCGAGCACCGGGGGCCCAGCGGAGGGGGTCTCGGTCCCCCCACCCCCCCCCGGTCTCCGGCGCTGTTGCGGAAGGCGGCGGCGATCTCGACGGTGGCGGCGGTAGCGGGGCCGGCCTCCAAGGGCGGAGCGTCGAGGAAAGCGAGATCGCCAGCGGAGGACATCGCCGCCAGGGTAAGCTCCGACCACCACCCGACGGACACTGCCCGCGGGACGGCGGCGCCGGTGCCGCCTCCGGAGGGGCGAGCGGTGGTGGTCTCCGCCGGCATCGGTGGCCCTCTTGCTGCTGCTGCTGCTGCTGCTGCTGCTGCTGCTGCTGCTGCTGTGGCCCCCGTAACGCGATGCCAGGAGCGGCCGTCTGCGGAAAGACACCTAAGGGGAAGCGACGAGAGTGTGTGGGGGGTGACTATTGTCGAGTTGAATCGACAAGGCTCCGAAGAAACAAGCACGACCTCCTCCCCTCCCTTGATCTTTCACTCGCGCGACAGAGTTGTAGCGTATTTTTTTTTTGCCGAAGAGTAACGCGATTCGAGCCCAGACCTCGAGCGGAGAGCAGCGTTTGAATCGGAAAAAAACTTAGGTGTATGCATGCTACCTGCTACCGCCTATTGCTACATAGTAGAGTGGCTTGGCTCAAACCTTAAGCGGGAGCGCAGCAGTCGAATCAAACTCTTACTTGAAGTGTACCGTATGCAGCTTTAAGCTCTTTGCCACCGTATTTTCCTACGAACGAAAGAGATGAGAGCGCGAACGGCAGCTGTCTGGTATGTATAATAGTATACAGTACCACAGTACCACAGTACCACAGTACCTGCGGCCGAGGGAGGAGGCGACAGCGGCGTCCTCCGAAGTTTCCACGATGCTGACCCCTCCCGCGATGTCAAGCACGGCCAGCCTGTCTCCTGACGGGTTGAACACCACCTGAAAAAGACAACCCCATGACCGTAAAACACACGGTGGAACTAAAAACTAGACTGCAACTTCTGTCCTGCGGTACAGCACTGCTGTGTCACGAAACACCGCTTCAGTTTTCTAAGAGAGAGCGAGAAACTCCGAGTACATTAACACCTTTCACCAAGGCGTGCCCCACCTGGAGCATTGCATGCGACCCGCGTGCGTGGTGTGGGGCGTGTGAAAGCGCGCACGCGCTTCACAGCGCACCGGACACTAAAAACGATAGAGACACCATCATCAGCATTTGGAAGAAACTTTGATCAAGAGCGGTTCCGGAAGCAATCAATCATCGATAGTTCTCGACATTCTGGCAATAAACTAAGCAGGCAACACATGGCATTTTCATTGCTGCCTGGATCATTTTTTCCTTCCTGGTGATGAAGAAAACCAGCAAGCACATGCACGGCCGTTCCATTCCTGCCTGGATCACTGCTTCTTGTCGGTGAAAGAAACAAGCAAAACTTGGCTATTCTAGTCCTGCCTTGGATTATCCTCCCTTCTTTCGACGATGAAATTAAGCAGCAAAACCTCTCCATATTCCATCCTCCTGCGACGCCGGGTGCTCCTGCCTGGATTGTTCTTCCTTTGCGACCAAAACAAAACCAGCAAAACACTTTCATCCATAATCCATTGTACTCCTTATGCTTGCACACCCACCTGCACAGGGGGCGCCACAGCTCGCAGCCCCGGGAAAAACAAGGGCAGCAACGCCGGCACCGTCCCGGGGGGCGCCCTGTCCAACCCCGCCCGCGGCGCGGGGACCACGAGCGACCCCCCCTCCAGCGCTACGAAGTGGAGCTCCGTCAGCCGAAGCGGCGGCAGCGGCATGGCGGCGCTCCTCCCCGCCAGCCTCGACCCACGGGCGCGCAGGTCGGCACCTCCGCCAGCAGCGGCGTAGGCGCTGCCTTGTTCGACGGTTGCGGCGGCGGCGGCGGCGGCGGCGACGGCGCCCCCGGTCACTCGCCAGAGGGTGAGGGAGAGGAAGGAATCGGGGCAGGAGGCACCCGAAGGGCCTACCACGGCCACCGTGTCCGTGGCTGTTGGGTGGATGTCAAGACGAGAGGAGAGGGAAGAGAGAGTAGTGACCTTAGTAGATTACCGCACGGACGGAGGGTAGTTGCCTTTCGCCGCTAAACACGAATGCAGCCATAGAAGGAGGTTCGCAGGGGACAAACATGTAGTCCTGGGGGAGGGGGAGTCGACGGCAGTGGTAGGGTTGCTGTGAACGGGAAGTGGTAGGGTTGCTGCTAAAGGGAAAAAACCCTGGGGGGTCCGATGTGAGACTTGTCCGATGTGAGAGTGTGCGGGAGGGGAGGGGATGATGGTCAGCCACAGTCAGACCTTGGGCCAGAACAATGGACGCCTTTTCGAACCGTGGTAGTGCAGCACATTCCTCGAAGGAGCACGATCACGCCAGATAGCAAACCCTACCTAGCAAACACCTTTGCTGCCGCTAAAAAACCGTGGCGCATGCGTGCACATACCCCACGGACAGGTCTACAAGGCTCGACCACTCCACGACCAAGGGTAGGACATGAAATGATGATACGTGTCGGAGAGCTCTCGATGAGACGGTTGTTCCAACGCCTACCGCCATTCTCGATACCGTCACTGCTGTCTTCCTTTCCTGCCGAGAAATCGAGCTTTGAAATCGGTCCACAGCGAGTGTGAGTGTGATATTGCGTCCCCAAGGCAGACATAGAAAAAGAAAAATGAAACAAAAAACACTCAAAACTAAATTAAAAAGCATCCTAAAACGGAAACAATAAAAAGCATCAAAAAGAAAACAGAAGACACGCAAACTATTTGGGGTGGTACCCTATGCAACCTACAACAGGGTGTGTTTTGCGTTTCGTCTGTCCCTCTCACCTCCGTGGAATGCCATCGCACACGTAGAGGCATGCCATCTCCCGAGACGCTGCTCGCAAGCTGGGGACGACAGGACGTCGCTCCCTTCCCCACCCACCCCTCCTTCCACAGAAAACGAGTAGAGCGCCAAGACGGCGTCGTACGTCAGGACCATGACCTTCGCAGACAACAACATGCAAAAAACGGGTCGGGAGACGTATGAATCCGTGCAGGCCACGAAAAAAAAAAAACGGCTGTAAGGGGAATCGTAGAAACACAAGCGGTGTCCCAATAACATTGCCGATGTATCCAGATTTACCCCGGACTCAATTGTCTCTGGATGGAGAAAAAGTCGCCGCGTTATCATCAGAGAAAAAAAAGGCACCAAGGAAACGAAGTAGGAACTTGGAGTGGAAGAACAGTGCGGCGGAATGTTCAATACGGGCAGGGTGGGACAAGTGAAAATGTTATCTCATAGCTTGTTGTTTGCTCTCACCCGCTCTTGTCGGCCTACCCCCCACCACAACCCCCCACACAGGGAAATAGAGAGACAGTCTACACGATTTGAAACCACGCACGATCATGCACACCGACTGAGCCCTGGCACCCAACCGTGTCTCCCCGTTGTAGCCGTGCCGTCGCACTCTGACGACACACTCTCCCAACGTCACGCTTCGGCTTCGACGGAAATCCGACTTTGTAATGACTCGAGAGGCTGGTGTAGCTTCAAGGCTGGCTTCCAAGAAGTTCTGCGGAGTGAGACGATGCGTTCAGCACGAAACAGGCGCGCCCACATCCCCGATACCGTACCGCATCTCCACAAGACAACACACCCCGGGGGTACAGTATATTCCTACTACCGTAACACCATCACAGGACGTTGTATGCTGTCGGAGCTTGCTCATCTTACGTGGGAGTGTGATCGCATACAACGCTACGCGACTGCTGCAAAATTAGACCCACCTCCATCTTCCCGCCTTCCAACGACCCCCTAAGCGCGACGCCCGCGATCCCGCCCCCCAGGCTCGCCGCGGAACCCCCCCCGTCCGGCACGGAGGGGCGCGGGACGACGGTAGCCAGACAGGCTCCGGAGAGGTGGCGCAGGCAGGCGACGCCTCCGGTAGGGGTGGAGACCGCCACGACACTGTGTGAAAAGGAGGGGGCGTCGT